AAACCGAAAAGGTTTTGGCGTGGGATCCTTCTACCAATTATTGGTAGAAGGAGCCCACGCCAAAATCTTTTCGGTTTTGGCCGCCCAAAACTCGGCCGTTTGGTACTACCGGCCCAAACGTTTACAGCCTAGGTGAAAGGTGCCTTCGCGCCGTGGCCACATCACCCTGGACCTGTTTTTACCGGTTCACGAATTCGGCGTTGTTATCGCGCCATACGTGGGCCTCATTCTATACTTCAGCGGTACCACCCTTGGCCTTTTTCACATCAAAATGAATCTGGCGCTGTTATGCGCCAAATTCATGATCCGGTAGGGCCGTTGGAGCGACGCGTGGGCATGTAGTACCCCGCATGGAAGTCATTGGGCCTGTAGTACCAAACGGCCGAGTTTAGGGCGTCCAAAACCGAAAAGGTTTTGGCGTCGGCTTCGTCTACCAATTATAGGTAGAAGGAGCCCACGCCAAAACCTTTTCGGTTTTGGCCACCCAAAATTCGGTCGTTTGGTACTACCGGCCCAAACGTTTACAGCGTGGGTGAGACGCGCCTTCGCGCCGTGGCCACATCACCCTGGACCTGTTTTTACCGGTTCACGAATTTGGCGTTGTTTTCGCGCCAGATCCATGAGCCGGTAGGCCCTTCTTTTTCAAAATACCGTACGTGGGCCTCATTCTATACTTAAGTGGTACAACCCTTGGCCTCTTTCACATCAAAATGAATCTGGCGGTGTTATGCGCCAGATTCATGATCCGGTAGGGTTGTTGGAGCGACGCGTGGGCCTATAGTACCTTGCATGGAAGTCATTGGGCCTGTAGTACCAAACGGACGAGTTTTCGGCGGCCAAAATCGAAAAGGTTTTGGCGTGGGCTCCTTCAACCAATTATTGGTAGAACGAGCCCACGCCAAAACCTTTTACGTTTTGGCCGTCCAAAACTCGCCCGTTTGGTACTACCGGCCCAAACGTTTACAGACTGGGTGAAAGGTGCCTTCGCGCCGTGGCCACATCACCCTGGACCTGTTTTTACTGGTTCACGAATTTGGAGTTATTTTCGCGCCAGATTCATGAGTCGGTAGGGCCCTTCTTTTTCAAAATATCGTACGTGGGCCTCATTGTATACTTCAGCCGTACCACCCTTGGCCTCTTTCACATCAAAATGAATATGGCGCTGTTATGCGGCAGATTCATGATCCGGTAGGGCCGTTGGAGCGACGCGTGGGCCTGTAGGACCCCGCATGGAAGTCATTGGGCCTGTATTACCAAACGGCCGAGTTTTGGGCGGCCAAAACTGAAAACGCTTTGGCGTGGGCTCCTTCTGTCAATTATTGGTAAAAGGAGCCCACGCCAAAATCTTTTCGGTTTTGGCCGCCTAAAACTCGGCCGTTTGGTACTACCGGCCCAAACGGTTACAGCCTGGGTGAAAGGCGCCTTCGCGCCGTGGCCACATCACCCAGGACCTGTTTTTACCGGTTCACGAATTTGGTGTTGTTTTCACGCCATATGTGGGCCTCATTCTATACTTCAGCGGTACCACCCTTGGCCTTTTTCACATCAAAATGAATCTGGCGCTGTTATGCGCCAGATTCATGATCCGGTAGGGCCGTTGGAGCGATGCGTGGGCATGTAGTACCCCGCATGGAAGTCATTGGGCCTGTAGTACCAAACGACCGAGTTTAGGGCGGCCAAAACCAAAAAGGTTTTGGCGTGGGCTTCTTCTACCAATTATTAGTAGAAGGAGCCCACGCCAAAACCTTTTCGGTTTTGGCCACCCAAAACTCGGCCGTTTGGTACTACCGGCCTAAACGTTTACAGCCTGGAGGAAAGGCGCCTTTGTGCCGTGCCCACATCACCCTGGACCTGTTTTTTCCGGTTCACGAATTT